CAGAAGAACACGTCTTATAATATCGGATAATCATATCTTTTTCATCTGAATTCACTGAGGTTTGGGGGTACCCCCTATGTCATTTTAATTATGTTATTTTAGGAATATTATTTTTAGTTTTTTTCTTTTTTCCACATGCTACCTTTTAATGTTATGGATACGACAAATTGGATATAACTAGTATATCGTTTTATGTTATTCTAGGAATATTGATTTTTAGGGGATTTTTTTATGGATACGGGGAAATTGGACTGGCGTTTTCGCCGTTTACATGTAGGTCCGTGATTTAAGATTATTTCTGGAAATAGTCAGTAGGTCGACAATCGAATAATGAAGGGGGTAGGAAGGGGTCCGATCCCGAAATATCGAATTAAAAGACACGAAAACCCGTAGTCCCGAATTAAAAAAAACATGAAATCCCGTTTTAAAGGTCCTACCGTCCCTCTATAATGTCAAAATTGGATTACGGGATGTTCTTTCAAATTTTAAGAAGGTAAAAGAAACATGGACAAAAACTAATCCATGCAGGTTTCATATTATTTATATTTTGTTTATCTGTATAAAGAGAACGATTAAAGTTGGGGGAAATGAATACTCAGACAGGAAAAACAAATGACTATATTTCGTATTTAATGCCCATAAACAAATACACACAAAAAAAATTCAGTGTCGAAATTTTAGTGAGGCAATTGCCTCACTTGCCTCAATGGTAGTAACGGCCTTGGATACTATATGCAATGGGTCAACTATATTTAAAGCATGTAATGATTGTAAGGTGTACGTGTTTGTCTGGCAGGGTTCATCTGACCGTGGCCTCATTTTAATGGGTCATTGTTCAATGTTAAGTTTTCCTGGTTAAGTTTGTTTCTTAGATGTTCAATAGGTGAACTATGTTTAAAGCATATTTGGTGTATAGAATGATTGTAAGGTGTACATGTATTTCCAGTTTGGTTTATCTGACCTTGACCTCATTTTCTTGGATCATGTTAAGTCTATGTGATAGTTGTAGTAAAGCTTTATATTAGGACTATTAACATAATATCAATGGTTAGTAAAGAAGGCGAGTCATTTCAGCGTGTGCACTCTTGTTATACCTACTTATATATCTTGAGTATCCTAACTTTTTTTTCGGAATAATACTTGTTTTTTTCATTCACCTTCCAAATTTAATTTTAAATGTTGTATCCATAAAACAGCAAATTAGGAGAACGATGGTATTAGATTGTAAACAAATTTGAATCATGAATTTTAAGGCTAAGAAGTGTTGTAAAAAGTTAAAAAAAATGAGTACGTCTGAGGCTGTCAATCTGCATAAAAGATCTTCCAATAAAGGAATTGTTTACTGACAATTCCCATGGAAACCTAACATATATTCCCACTACACGTACCAAAGAAGAAATCATGAGTATTCATAGATCTGTTCTATGTTCCTTTGGAATATCAACCAAAGATAAAGAACTGGATCTCCCTTCACTGTGCTGGATACCAAAATTACTATTCATTCATTTTTTTCATTTTTGCCTTTTATTTGGAAAACTATAATATATAGAGAGAAACTTTAAGCAAGAAAAATGATCATCAAGACAAGATCTACAAAAAGTCAAATGAGTGAAATCGTCAGAGGACTTTTAATAGGAATTATTGCTCTTTAATGACGATTCTTACCATTTTTTGTGTGCATTTTTGCACATTATCTTGAAATTTATAACAGATGCACATTTCAATATTTTGGGAGAATGGTCATCCATGGATATTCCAGATATCTCGGTGGTCTCGTGGTAGCGTATTCACCTCGAGTGCGGGAGGTCGTGGGTTTGAACCCTGGTCGTGTCAAACCAATTGCATATCATCTTGAAGATTATGATAGATATATAGAAACTTTAAATAGCAAAAATGATCAGCAGGACAAGATCTACAAATAATCCATCATGGCTTAAATCTTAAGTCGACTCGTTCATTGAGCTAAAATAATCAAGCTTTTAATTGATACAACTTGATTTATGGGGAAAATTAACTGTATATATTTTCTTAACACGATAAAATCATCAGAAAACAGAAAACTTTCCCCTCAAATTGCACGGATTATGTGTTTGATTTTTCTTCATTTGGTTGCTCATACTTGACCGAGTACCAGGACGTCTAACCACAGAAAAGGTAATACGGAGTCAAAAGTCGGTAAGATGAAAATAGTCTATTGACTCCTTAGAATGACTAGTTAGAGAATGAAATTCCTATGAGAAGCTAGCTTTTCGTAAGGTAAACATTTTCATAAATAAATATAAAACCAGCCCTTTGTGCAGAACGATAAAAAAAAAATAGCGTCGTTCACGGTAGAAAATATTTTTATCGTGTCCCACTTTGTATTTATTAAATGACCGACAATTAAGTAATGGTTTTAATTTCAAAAAAATGTGTCATGTGTGACAACATCGATTCAGGATAAGTAATAATCTTGACAAATACACGTTTATGCATGATCCACTACAAGAACACCCGAAGCAGCTTGTTTATGACTAAATGTTGAACCTATTTGATGAAAGTATGTATCTTTAATTTTTCAATGCTACTAATAGTGTATTACAATAAGCCAATCTACCTGTACCACAATCTAAAATGGCGTTAATGTTAAAAACACGAGTCGTAAACGTCAGGGGTAGGAACGCATTATTTTCCGAGTATGGGAGACAATATATTACCCCTATCCCGTCTCGTGTTAATGTCATTAAAAAGCTAATATATTCACTTCATTGATGTGTATCATGACTATTTGACAAACATTACTTTTGACACCACGAAATTTACGATCAGTGCAAACAACAAACATGTACAACTGAACAGTTTCAAAGGTCTGACAGCACCATCAGAGGCCGATTAAGTGGGGGGAGCAGAGTGCCCAACCCCCTTATGGAGCTACATGTATGGTTAATCCGTATACTTTTGTCATTTCCCACTGCAAACATTGCCTAGTTTGGTCCCCGGGCTCCCCCTTTTTCAAAATCCTCGATCCGCACCTGACCATGTTAGATAAAAGTAAAATTCATTTCGTGTTTCAGAAGTTAAACACTTTCCTGGATTTTGATCATCACCCTCTTCTTGGTATAGAATACCATCGAAGGTGTAAAAATATACTAGTAAGTTGGGTAAAATCTTTGAGATGTCCCCCACAGTTAACATTTGTATTGAATTGTATCGATTGACTTGGACAATAGGGGATTAACAACAAAATGTGATTTAACAGTGTAACTGAATGGACAGTGTCAAAATAATATTTATTTATTTTACCATCTTCTGCAGTGTTAAAAGATTATTCTCTCAAAATCATTTAAAAAGATTCTTTTTTTCTGAAACCCAAAATGCATCATTGTTTAAATATATCTGGTGCAGCCAGGCCTCAATACAGCTCGAGTTGCACAGGTTTTTTTTTGTACACTCACTTAATTTTATGGTGAAAATACAATTATGTTGGTCAAACAGTTATGATGAACCTTAAATTCTGGTGGTGTTGAAGAAATTCCATACATCCTTATCAAATGAAGTGCGGGGGTGGGGGGGAAGAGACAGATTATCATACCATTATAGATCTATTTGTACGAGGTATTTTAATATCAATATAAATTATAGCAAAGTAAGTCAATGAATGAGAAAAAAAGTAAATAAAAATATGAATGCGTTAATTTAATTAATAAGTTGACATATAGAGAAATAAGGAAACAGAACAAATAGATAAAGATAAACAAGATAAACAAGACATCAGACATTGTTATTTACCAATCATGGATCTTTGTTTGGTAAGATACGTGAAAATTATAGTACAAGTGTTTATGAATGATAATTATTATAAAACATGTGAGAATAAACGTTTTCAATGAAAACATACAATAAAATATTCATGAGTAATACAGGATATTATTACACTATAAAGTGAGGTCGATTTAAAAAAAAATAGATATGAAATATATAAAAAGGAAATAATAAAACAAGTAACCTAAGACCACTAGTTATAGTAGTATCAGAAGTAACATAGTTCCGTATTTAGTAGACTAGTAGTTTGCACAACACTGAGGAACTATTATAGATCCCCACAATACAGAGGTCACCAAGGGCCAGCTACAAATAGTATATTCATAACACCAGAAGTCCATTACTAGACTAGTAATGGACTTCTGATAACATCAATAGTGGTTCTCCTCATGAAAAATAAATAGCAGCAATAGGGTTAGTTGTTGCCACTAGGCAAGATTCATCAAGGGACAGTGCTCAAGAACTTACTAATGGAAAAATTAAGGTTCAAGTGATAAAAAAGAGGGGGTAATTTTATAGCATCTGAAATCTAGTCACAAATCCCAAAAGGGAATATTTTGATAGATATATTGTGTCAATCCCATAGACTTTTCATATTTCTTAATAAATATGAATTATTCTGATAACACTTTCTCCTCTTCATTATTTATTAACAATATTAGTTTTAATGGGGTCTAATTTTTTTTAATTTCCCAAAAATTTTTTATAATTGATATTATAAAAATTTTTTGGGAAATTAAAAAATATATAGTTAAAATTCTATATCCTCTATTTCATACTGCACAGCATCTAAAGAACTTAAACTGCAGGAAAAAAACAAATGGATATTAATTTAAATGATTAATAACTTAAATAAATAATAATAATAATAAAGATTTCTATTACCAATCTAATCTTTCTCCTATTTGAAAAGATAAATAAAAATATAAACGTAACTTGACTTATTCAAGTATAAAAAATAAGAAAACGTGGTATGATTGCAAATGAGACAAGTACAGTTTTTGAGTGTTAAGTCAATAATTATTTTACGAACAAATAAGGCACACTACACGCCAATATGATTTATTTCAGAAAAAAATGTAGTTCTGACAAATTTAAATGTTTATTCCTTCATGTTCACAGGACAAAGCTTTTATGTTTCCTTTGTGTTTGTATTTACTTTTAAAAGTCTTTCATCACAAAAAAAACCATTAAAAATCAATATAACTGTTCATCAACTAACCATGAAACGTCTTTCAATCTCTGAGACTCAGGTACTTGTGATAACTTAGTCATGCAAATTTGAGGTAAGTTATATATATTAATATTTCAAAAAAGCATAATAACCCCCCTTTTATGTAATGCATTGACAATTGCTCCCTTTTGTTTTAACGGCTTACAGTAAACGCTTTTTCAAGTTGCGCATAAATTAACATTGGACGAACGTGACAACCAGTTGATTTTCGGAAGGAGGGCAGTCTTATCCAAGACAGGATAAAAACGTATGGTCTGCCCAACAAAGTGTAAGAAATAATTGTGTACAAAAGTGTAGAAAAAATTCGAAATGTCGATTTTTTTCTTTATTTTTGTGACTATCTTAAAACAATAGGAATACAATTAAAATTATAAATTACAATAATAATCAGTAACACAAACAATTAATGGTATTTGCAACTAAGGTCCTCATTATTTGACAATGACTTTTTTACAACATGGGCGATACAGGTTCTGGTGAGCCTCTTTTTTCTATTCGTCTTCATTTTAGTTTGTGTATAGACAGTATGAAATCTATTTACCTGTTTGTTTTAGTAAACGTTTCACATCTTGTTTAAGGGGACGTATTAGTAAACACAAACTCGTAGCTGCATACATTTTGTCATTGCTTTCAAACTGTTACAGTGTGCATTTCGAAGCACAATTAGGGCAGGGGCGACCATTTTATATTGTGGACAAATTGAACACAATAGAAAATAAACTTTTCGTGAAAAATAAATAACCGAGACTCGCCTAAGGTGAACATGAATATTCCGTCAGTAAAAATCCTCGCTCATCCCCACAGAATATGAAATTGACAATGATAAGTGAGACAAAAAAAAAAAAAAAAAAAAAAATCCGAGGCACAACTCTCTCTTAAATATTCGATCAGATCTAAATTCAAAGATTCTGATTGTTTTTTTTCTTCTTCCGGCACATTTGTTCTTAAGCTGTATTTGATATTTGGTATTATGATATCGAATAGTTATTGCGCTTTTAAAACTCACCCTATTTAACTGAATACGTTTCTTGTTATCGCTACTCCTTCGCAATCGTAAAAGAAACCGACAATTTGTTTCCCAAATTGTTCGTTATATCCTCAGGATTTTGAAAATTTTCAATAATTTTGACCGAAGCGATTCGGAGACTCCATATGAAAGTTTTTCCCCTTAATGTATTATAATTTGCTACTTCCGGTTTACAATAGGTTACTTCCGGTTTGTAGATAATAACATACTTCACACTTGATCCAAAAGTACATGGTTTTTAGGTACTTTTGCACAAATTAAGTGTAAAATATGACAACTTCCGGTTTACACAAGGTCACTTCCGGTTGTCCTTATTCCGAGGGGGCCACAACATATGTTTACCAACATTATGACGAAGACCCTAATGGTTTGATAATGTACCATTATGAATAAATGGCAAAGATCGTAATCTCGAACGTCAGATTGACCTTTGACCTTGATCTCAATTTCAAGGTCAAATATCATAGCCTAAAACCAAAAGACCATGGTCTCTACTCTGCGGTTTATGAGAAGTTACATCACCATGCAGCTTATTTCAATTATTCCAGGGGAGAAAACTATAAGTTGTTGCCATATCACTTAGACCTGTCGTAACTAACAATTTGAAAAAAAACTTTTGTCGATACCTTTTTTTACGGTTTCTCAGAAGTAGCGATATCAAGCTTTAGTCAAAATTTAGAACATGACCGTGACATAATTTTCTTTTTGTAGTTTCTTTAAATTAAACACACATTCATGCATGTATTAATTCTGAATAATTTGTCTTTTACATGTTGTAAAAGTCCAGAACATTTACACAAAGTAAAACACATACATATCTTACGGTAAGGATTCAGATCAAGTTTAAGGCAAATGATAATATAGAAAATTAACTCATATAATATAATATAACTTAACTTTGTTCTCATTATTTTATATAATAGAAGAACTTTTCCTCCTCATTTAATTTGCCAAAATTTTTCACTTTATAAGATATGATAGACAATCTGAGTCACACTTTGTTTAAACTTTTCATAAATGACATACCTGCTTGTCTTAAGAGTTCGTCTGATCCAGTCGTTGTTAATTCAAGATCAGTCCACTGTTTATTATTTAAGAATTGAATGCTTCTTTTTAAATAAATTTATTGGGATGTAAAAGCGTTGACCGAAGCACATTGTGTATGAAGCGCTTTCGCGCTTCGTTCTAAAAATGTGTGCACGGTCAACGCTTTTACAACCCTATAAAATTACTAAAAGAAGCATTCAATACTTGTAATTACATTTTTTTGCTAGGATCATGAAAACACGATTTCTATCAAGTTTTTCTTTTATTTACCTGTGCACTTTATTGTGGAAGCTCGTGTCATCATGAATGCTGCATTTCATTTTGAAATGAAGGTTAATCTCAGAATGACGCGAGATTGTTGTTAGCCAATCAAAATAACGTATTATAATGAAACATACATGTAATGTAATTATATGCTGATGATATTGTAATTTTTTCAACCTCAGCAACAAGGCAGGCAGACATATCAAACATAATTTTTATTTTAATGACATACTTATTGATTGTATTCAACATTGTGAATATTTAGGAATAACTTTTAGTGCATCTGGATCTTTTTCCTTCGCTCAGAGAGAATTGTATAAGGCGTTAAAAGCCTACTACAAGCTATGAAAGGACTTTCTGTCACTGAATCCAAGTTTTAAAAAAAGCCTTCTTGTATTTTATTTGACCATACAATTAAACCTATTCTTCTATATAGTTCAGAAATTTGGAGAATTTAAACTCTAATTTCAAAATATTTTTTTTAATCTATGACTACAAATGTGGATCAGGCTTATCCTAAGCTTCTTTCAGAAAGACTACATATTACATTTTGTAATCATTTTTATGGCGTTGGCAAAAGGACAACACATTTTGCCACTCTTTCTGAACTAAGTAGATTCCCTCTGCAAAGTCCAGTGGCGGATCCAGAAATTTTCATAAGAGGGGGCCCGCTCCAGTCATGCTTCAGTGATTCCCTATATAATCAACCAAATTTTTCCCACAAAAGGGGGGGGGCAGGCCCCCTGCCCCCCTAAATCCGCCTCTGAAGTCTAAGATCAGATACTGGCACAGGCTTGAAAATTTGGGTTCATCTTTTCCATTACTAAAGGAAGCATATTTAGAGTAAAAATTATTACACGAGTCAAAAATTCCGTCATGGTATGGATCATTAAACTTCTTTCTAAAGAATATTAAAGGGGTTGGCAATTTAGCTTCTGCAAGCAATTATAGGTTTAAACTTTTATACAAAAAAAATGCTGTACCAGTACTATGAGGATCAGTGGGGACTCCAATTGCACAACTGTGCTGATGGAAAGCTCTGTAGTTACAGCACTTTCAAGGCAAATTTTATTTTATTGCGATCCCCTGAGCGGATGAGAAATTTTACTACATTACCTATTTCGTCACATAGACTTAGAATTGAACAAGGTCGATATCATGGTATATCTCGACAAAACCGAGTAATCAAATCAAATCAAATCAAATCAAGTTTATTGTACAAAAAAGGCCTCCAGCCCACGGTACAAATATTAAATTACACAATTTATAATTTTGCCATCTACAGTTACATATTACACAATAAACAATAATCACATTACATATTCACACATCATCATATTTATAAATCAGTCATCAGTAGTGTTCATTTCCACTTATATTTTACTATACATTCAAAATGTCAAAACTTCATCTCGAAATACTTTAGCTTTCATAATATATATTGCCAGATTTTTTAAAATACAAAAATCATCAGTTTTAAACAGATTAATCAGTTTTTCTTTGTTAGGATTATTATGACACCATATGGGTAAAAAAATTCTCCTTATATCACACAAAATCGGACAAACAAGTATAAAGTGGTATTCATCTTCAATTTCATTTGTATTACAAATTCTACATAATCTATTTTCCCTAGGTTGATTTTCATGTCTACCTTGTTCTATAGCAAGGCTATGATTAGAACATATAATGGAAAAAATTTCATGTTTGAGCTTAAATGACAGCTTTTGAATATTTTCATTAATAATAATAACATCTTTAATTTTCGAATAAAAAGAACATTTGGAAGAATTACCAATATAATCTGACCAAGTTTGTAAGTTCACATCTTTTAGTCTTTGTTTAAATAACAACATAAACAGTTTTATATCTCCAACACTTTGGTTTTCCCATACATATTCAAATCCATATGAAAATAAAAGTTTTTGAATTTTCGTACACCAGTTTATTTGTCCATTTTCATTCATTTTGAACATCATACGGTAGCATTGTTTTGGTAGTCTGCTATCATCAAGGTTTTGTAGACTTAGAAAATATTTAATAGGCTTGCACATATAGTTTACGTAGAGTTCATAACGACCACATTCACCTCTTGCTATGTGATGATTAGTTTTTCGAGTATGTCTCAGGTGAAATTGGTGATGAAAAACTTTTTTTTTATTTTCATGCACATCTTTAACGAGGAGAAACTGCTTGTACTCCAAGATTAACTCACTCTGTCCTTACTTTAAGCAACTTTAATGTTGATATATTAATATCTGTTTGTGATCGGATTGATGAAGGCAAAATGTCTTTTCTGCATTAGGCACAAGGATACAGTCAACAAGGATACAGTCAACAAGGATGGCATGGTGATAACCTAGACTCACCAATAATAATAATGTTCATTTTTGTTTTTATTTTATCATTGATAATCAGAATTATTTCCATTATTATTTTTCTATTTGGTATTAGGTATACTTGTGCATGTCATTTAGCATCGTCCTTTGGTGCCTCTTGCAGTCGGATCACCTTACAGTATGTATCAACCCCTCTGCATGAGGCACGAGAATGACATGCCAGATTTGTGCATCTGCTCGTAATATTTTAACCAAATTGTCTATTTACATACATGTGTACCATGTAAAGAAGATGATCTTTTGATGTAATTTTTTGAGTTTGCAAAAAGCATCAGATGATAATGGAAATTCTGACAAATTCTGTAAACGGAAACAATACTTTAACATAGATTTTACAATGTTATAATGTAGTTAAAACTTTTCTAGCTCTAATAGTGACGCTGTCAACGTATATTTGTTCCGCCTAACAGAAGTTCCACTGGAAACTTTGTTATAAACAATGTCATAATATCTATTCTTGTTGGAACAAATATTCTATACCATTTATTCCGTTAGGAACATTTACTGTAATATTTATTCCAGTGGAAATAATATTCCAGAATATTGTTTCCATTTGGAACTTATATTATGAAGGAACTTCTATTCCGTGACAATACTCTTTCTATACATGCCTATACTTTTGCAAAACATAACACGGTAAATCCTTATAACATTAATCAAAATTAAATTCTCATGTTTGCGGAAGCCCAACCCTCTCCTTAACCTAGGACGGGGTGTAACAGCACAACATAAGAACAAACTATAAAAATCAGTGGAAAAGGGCTCAACTTATCAGATCGATACAAAGCACAAAAACAACTTACAAGAACACTAGACACAAAACACTGATCTGATAGTTCTCCCAATTTCCGTTTTTATAGATGGCCCGAGTTGTCTTAGGGCCGAATTACTTGTACCTTGGCATAACTGGTTTGCGTTCTTAAGTGTGTGTGTGTGTTTAGGGGGAGGTAGTGGGTACCAGTAGGCTGTGAATAGTGGCAATATATATACTTTTTCGTCATTTCATGCGCATGGATATAAAGTCCCAACAAACTTTGAAAATAATTGAGGTAAATGCATATATACAAGGCATGCACGAATAAAGCATCATAAAAGAGAAGTGCTTGAGTAAAAAAATAAGAAACTTAGAGGTCATCAATTTTTCATATTTATCTAATTATAGACCTTGTTCTGCTGGTCATTATTGCTTCTTACAGTTTCTATGTAACCAATGGGCATTTAAGGGTAATAACTCTGAAAGCAGACAATTTCGGCCATATTGACCAAGTAGATCTTGTTTTTCAGATCATTATTGACGATTACAGACTTTCTCTATCAAGCAGTAGGGGGCTTGGTGACTGGCCGAGTGGTATAAATATTACTAGCATGTCAACACTGAAGATGTAAGTGCAAGCCCCGCACGTGGCAGGTGCGTTCGACTCTAAACTTAATTGACTAGGATTGCAAGTTTTCCTGTCGGTGCTCTCTCCGGCATCCTCCACCAATAAAAACTGGTCGCCACGAAATAGCCAGTGCTGTAAATGGCGTCAATAAACAAAAATCAATCAGTCAATCGTCTTAAACAGTATGGAAGAAATAACCAAAACTATTTAAAAATATCCATAAAGTGCAATAGCTCGAATAAACAGTCAACCAACAATGACAAAATCACTGGAATAAACGCTCCTCGATGTAACGACATTACTACCCGTGAAGATGTTAACTAATTTTATAATCAATGTATAGACTTAAAATTGCTACAACTTAAAAAACGATATTTTTTTTTATTACAAATAACATTTTTAGCAAAGATATACTGAAATATTCGACATTTTATCCATTTCTGCTTTCTATTTTATACAGAATATAAAGAAGAGGTATGTTGACAAAAAAGAGATTTTTCATTGGTTTTATGGTATTAGGCTTCCTTATTTTATGGAGTATAATACACGGAAATATTATAACGACAATGATGGATCAAGCAAACATGGCAATGCATTCGTTAACAATGCCTACACCTGGCCAGTATAATTTGTCCTATGAATTGAAATCCATTCGTCACGATTGTGGACAACTTTGTAATACATCAAGACAAGGGTCACCAGGGCCGTATTTTGATCATATACTTGCACCAATTGATTGTAATGCAATATTAAGGAATGCATATGTAGACCGGGGTCATGGATTACCTCTTGCACCGGAAACAATTCCAATAGAGCTAATGAATGAATTTTCAATGAATAATCGTATTCCAGTGAGGTACTGGCACTTAAATAGCCAATATTTAGGTAAAAAAGCATCGAGTCCTGTGTGGACAGAGAAAGCTATTGAAGACTGGATACTTCTAGCAAAAGAAGGTAAATTAAAGGGCAATTACGGTGTAGGAGAAACAAATGCTCTTAGAGATGGATTAAAACATGCACCAGGGATTAAAGACGGTAGGGTTTTAGTAATAGGTTCAGAAATTCCATGGGTTGAGGCATGCGTACTTGAAGCAGAAGCACGTGAAGTAGTGACATTAGAGTATGGCAGTATCAAATCAGAACACCCAAAAGTGAAAACCATGGTCCCGTTTGTATTTCGTATGCGTTATCTTAACAATACTTTAGGAACATTTGATGCCATCGTTACATTTAGTTCTATAGAACACTCAGGATTAGGGAGATATGGGGACGCATTGAATCCGTGGGGTGACATTATTGCTGTAGCACGAGCATGGTGTGTAACTAAACCTGGAGGTTCACTTACAATAGGTGTGCAGTATAAATATAATCATGAGTTTCTCAATTTTAATGCTCATAGATGGTATGGTAAAATAAGATATCCATACTTAACTACAAATTGGAAACAACTTTACAGGGGAATAGGCAAACAACGCGTCCATGTTTTCACGAAATAACAATAAATTCTTGTTTTTCGACAGTTTTACAGATTTTCAGAAGACGTGAATGTTATAAAGAAGAGAGTTACAATTCTACATGCAATGGCAATTTGAATTCGAATCAATTGTCTCCGTGTGCGTCAGCTGTTTGTGGGTGCCGAATTAGGTTATTTAAAAGGATTACGTTTTTCAGTTGAAAGAGGAAGACGTTTGCAGATGAAATGAAGGCAAGCACAACCGTGACAAACAAAGAAACATATATACATTTTGTACTCCACAACGGTATAATGTGAATGTAAACAACCATACGGAATTCAACAATGAGCAAAACCCATACCATACAGTCATAATTATTTAGTTATGTTTTAATTTATCAAAAACAAAATCAATGTTAGAACTGATAAAATAATATTCAAAGATCTTACTACAGTGATAGCCTTTAAGAATTAGTTTATTTTGATCGAGCATCAATCAGTTTACATGACCGTATCCGAGTTTATGAACTCTATAAACAACATCACCGTAAAAAGTTGAATGTGATATCCCTTTTTTTTAATAAGAATTCTACGGGTAAAGCCAACATTCCAAACCAGATCTTTGTAGAGGACGTTAATAAAAGTTTAAAGTAATTAAACGAAATCCTTGACTTGATAAGTACCACTGTTTAAGGACTAAACAAGGGTTGCTCCGAAGTAGTAGTGAGCATTTTCGTCGAACCTGCGACTTTAATCGCAAAAGCGAGACATAGCGATCCTACATTCCTTCGTCGGCGTCGGCGGCGTCCACAAATATTCACTCTTTGGTTAAAGTTTATGAAATTTTAATAACTTTCTTACACTATCCTGGATTTCTACCAAACTTGGACAGAAGCTTGTTTATGATCATAAGATAGTATCCAGAAGTAAATTTAAAAAAAAATCCTGTTTATTCGTATTTTACTTATAAATGGACTTTGACATAATCTTTCAATCAGTTTAATTGAGGTCTTGAGCTGGCATGTCAGTAACTTCTAGTAGTCTGTTGTTATTTATGCATTATTGTCATTTTGTTTATTTTCTTTTGTTTCCTATTCTGACATCGGACTCGGACTTCTCATATACTGAGTTTTACTGTGCGTACTGTTGTACGTTTGTTTTTACTACATTGGCTAGAGGTATAGGGGGAGGGTTGAGATCTCAAAAAACATGTTTAACCCCGCCTCATTTTTGCGCCTGTCCCAAGTCAGGAGCCTCTGGCCTTTGTTAGTCTTGTATCATTTTTAATTTTAGTTTCCTGTGTATAATTTGGAGTTTAGTATGACGTCCATTATCGCTGAACTAGTATACATATTTGTTTAGGGGCCAGCTGAAGGACGCCTCCGGGTGCGGGAGTTTCTCGCTGCATTGCAGACCCATTGGTGGCCTTCGGCTGTTGTCTGCTCTATGGTCGGGTCGTTGTCTCTTTGACACATTCCCCATTTCCATTCTTAATTTTATTATTAGTTTTTCTTCCAGTTAACATTACATACAGTCTGCAGTTAAAGTTTTAAAAAATTTAATAACTTTCTTAAACTATCCTGGATTTGTACCAGACTTGGACAGAAGCTTGTTTATGATCAAAAGCTAGTATCTAGAAGGAAATTTTGTAAAAATTTATTTCCTGTTTTCCCGTATATTACTTATAAATGGACTTAGTTTTTATCCCAGGTAACATTACATACAGTCTGCAGTTAAAGTTTTTAAAACATTTATTAGATTCATAAACCATCCTGGGTTTTTACCAAACTTGGACAGAAGCTTCTTACGATCAAAAGATAGTATCTATAGGAAAATTTTTAATAGTATTCTCCCCTTTTTTTTCTATTTACATGCATTTTTATTGATGAATTGAGGGATAAATCATCAAGCAATGTAAAAATTATCTTCTTTATCAATTGTTCATTCAATAAATTTATGTTTCAACACTTTTATAAATCTATAGATTTTATTGCATACTGTATTCATTTTTTACAAGCAAACGTTTTATTTCATTAACTGTAAATCTATTATGTGCATTCCCCTATCACACTGAAAACATAGACAACAGCAAAAGTAGGCGAGACACTGGGTTCCGCGGAACCCTTACGAATTTTTCAACTTGTTGTCATTCTTATTGTTATAGGTCAAAGGATATTTTTGTTTGAATTGCATTTATTAAATTCCGTTAGATATGTGTGATATGATACGGAAGCCGATAAGGGCCATTCAAAAAAAAAAATTATGTCGTAATTACGACATAAAATGTCGTAATTACGACATAACATGTCGTAATAACGACACCACTATGTCGTAATTTCGACATAATATGTCGTTATAACGACATCACTATGTCGTAATTTCGACATAACATGTCGTTATAACGACATTGCTATGTCGTAATTTCGACATAACAAGTCGTAATTACGACATCACTATGTCGTAATTACGACATAGCTATGTCGTAATAACGACATCGCTGTATATATAAAAGAATATGTATTATGATTGCCAACAGACTAAATGACACAGAAATAAACAACTATAGGTCATCATAATGCCCTCAATAATGAGAAAAGCCCCCGCATAGTCATCTATAAAAGAGGGACGAAAGGTACCAGTGGGAGAGTCCCCGAAATGACAGCTGTTTAACAATTTAATTCAAACGAGTGAAAATAACGGTTTTAATAATGTACAAACAAAGACCGAAACACGAATATGTAACACAGCATCAAATGACAACCACTGAATTACAGACTCCTGACCGCTATCTGATAATAACGACAACCTTATAGTTTAACTTTTCACTTTTTGAAGCGATAGGAATTTCGTAATGGTCGCCAGTAAAGGCAAAGTTTGTATCGTAAACAAATTCATCTTTTTTTTCTGAGAATATTGAACACTTCATGCAATCAAGCTTAATTAAAGTTATTCACTAGCACCTCAGACTTGCACATACTAGAACTTTATTTATAATCAAGTCAAATGAGACCCAGTTGAATAGGGGAGCAATTCAAGCTCCCTGGAGCCTCTAATTATGTTTGGCATTGCAGGTTCTGAATAAGATGAATTTTAAGCTTTTCCCAATAAAGACTATGTTAAACTTTGGACTCATAGTGCTCAGACCCACGGATCTCTGTACCTTCATTTTTACACACTTGTATCTTAATGTACTACTGAGTCTTGATGCAAATTATAACTGCATTGCTATTGTTGGTTCTTAATGAGATTCTTCAAGCGTCCTCCCCATTGAAGCCCTATTATAACTTTGTACCCCAAGTTCTTTTAACCACTGTTCCCCGGGACAACTATCTTGTTGAGAGTTGCGTTTTTGAACAAACCAGCGTATCCCAAGGCCTTGATAACCTCTGTAGGCCCCAATTAAAACAAAAAAAAACTTCAAAATTGGAGAGAAAACTGAAAAAAAATGGTTTCTAACCTCAGGGATATTAACCCTTGGCTATCTTAGATTTAATGCAATCAGTATGCATCAGCATCAGGGTACAGCTCATTTGCATATCATTTGCATATTTTTACAAATACTTGAAATTTAGACAATTTCTGATAACAATTCAGCATGCCAAGGGTTAATATCCCTGAGGTTAGAAACCATTTATTTTCAGTTTTCTCTCCAATTTTGATGTTTTTTCGTCTTATTTGGGACCTACAGAGGTTATCAAGGCTTTGGGATACGCTGGTTTGTTCAAAAACGCAACTCTCCACAAGAAACCAAATGACACAGAAATTAACAATTATAGGTCACCGTACGGCCTTCAACAATGATCACAGCCCATACCGCATAGTCAGCTATAAAAGGGCCCGAAATGACAAATGTAATACAATTCAAACGAGAAAAACTAGCGGCCTATTTTATGTACAAAAATTAACGAAAAACAAATATGTAAATTAAAGACTTGGGACAGACACATACATTAAGAATGTGGCGGGGTTAAACATGTTAGCGGGATCCCAACCCTCCCTCTAAGTTTGTAGGAATAGTTGTCCTGGGGAACAGTGGTTAAAAGAACTTGGGGTACAAAGTTTTAATAGGGCTTCAATGGGGAGGACGCTTGAAGAATCTCATTAAGAACCAACAATAGCAATGCAGTTATAATTTGCATCAAGCCTCAGTAGTACATTAAGATTCAAGTGTGTACAAATGAAGGTACAGAGATCCGTGGGTCTGAGCACTATGAGTCCAAAGTTTAACATAGTCTGTATTGGGAAAAGCTTAAAATTCATCTTATTCAGAACCTGCAATGCCAAACATAATTAGAGGCTCCAGGGAGCTTGAATTGCTCCCCTATTCAACTGGGTCTCATTTGACTTGATTATAAATAAAGTTCTAGTATGTGCAAGTCTGAGGTGCTAGTGAATAACTTTAATTAAGCTTGATTGCATAAAGTGTTCAATATTCTCAAAAAAAAAAAGATGAATTTGTTTACGATACAAACTTTGCCTTTACTGGCGACCATTTTGAAATTCCTATCGCTTCAAAAAGTGAAAAGTTAAACTATAAGGTTGTCGTCATTATCAGATAGCGGTCAGGAGTCTGTAATTCAGTGGTTGTCATTTGTTGCTGTGTTACATATTCGTGTTTCGGTCTTTGTTTGTACATTATTAAAACCGTTATTTTCACTCGTTTGAATTAAATTGTTAAACAGCTGTCATTTCGGGGACTCCCCCTCTGGTATCTTTCGTCCCTCTTTTATAGCTGACTATGCGGGGGCTTTTCTCATTATTGAGGGCATTATGATGACCTATAGTTGTTAATTTCTGTGTCATTTAGTCTCTTGGCTACGGAAGCCGATAAGGGCCATTCAAAAAAAAAATTTTATGTCGTAATTACGACAAAACATGTCGTAATAACGACATCACTATGTCGTAATTTCGACATAACATGTCGTTAAAACGACATAACATGTCGTTTAAACGACATCGCTATGTCGTAATTTCGACATAACATGTCGTTATAACGACATCGCTATGTCGTTATAACGACATCGCTATGTCGTAATTTCGACATAACATGTCGTTATAACGACATCGATATGTCGTAATTTCGACATAACAAGTCGTAATTACGACATCACTATAGCTATGTCGTAATTTCGACATAGCATGTCGTTATAACGACATCGCTATGTCGTAATTTCGACATAACAAGTCGTAATTACGACATCACTATAGCTATGTCGTAATTACGACATAGCTTTGTCGTAAAAACGACATCGCTATATATATAAAAGAATATGTATTATGATTGCCAAGAGACTAAATGACACAGAAATAAGCAACTATAGGTCATCATAATGCCCTCAATAATGTGAAAAGCCCCCGCATAGTCAGCTATGAAAGAGGGACGAAAGATACCAGAGGGAGAGTCCCCGAAATGACAGCTGTTTGATAATTTAATTCAAACGAGTGAAAATAACGGTTTTAATAATGTACAAACAAAGACCGAAACACGAATATGTAACACAGCAACAAATGACAACCACTGAATTACAGACTCCTGACCGCTATCTGATAATAACGACAACCTTATAGTTTAACTTTTCACTTTTTGAAGCGATAGGAATTTCAAAATGGTCGCCAGTAAAGGCAAAGTTTGTATCGTAAACAAATTCATCTTTTTTTTTTTTAGAATATTGAACACTTTATGCAATCAAGCTTAATTAAAGTTATTCACTAGCACCTCAGACTTGCACATACTAGAACTTTATTTATAATCAAGTCAAATGAGACCCAGTTAAATAGGGGAGCAATTCAAGCTCCCTGGATCCTCTAATTATGTTTGGCATTGCAGGTTCTGAATAAGATGAATTTTAAGCTTTTCCCAATAAAGACTATGTTAAACTTTGGACTCATAGTGCTCAGACCCACGGATCTCTGTACCTTCATTTGTACACACTTGAATCTTAATGAACTACTGAGGCTTGAAGCAAATTATAACTGTATTGCTATTGTTGGTTCTTAATGAGATTCTTCAAGCGTCCTCCCCATTGAAGCCCTATTAAAACTTTGTACCCCAAGTTCTTTTAACCACTGTTCCCCAGGACAACTATTCCTACAAACTTAGAGGGAGGGTTGGGATCCCGCTAACATGTTTAACCCCGCCACATTCTTAATGTATGTGTCTGTCCCAAGTCTTTAATTTACATATTTGTTTTTTCGTTTATTTTTGTACATAGAATAGGCCGCTAGTTTTTCTCGTTTGAATTGTATTACATTTGTCATTTCGGGGCCTTTTATAGCTGACTATGCGGTATGGGCTGTGATCATTGTTGAAGGCCGTACGGTGACCTATAATTGTTAATTTCTGTGTCATTTGGTTTCTATGCAAATGATATGCAAATGAGCTGTACCCTGATGCTGATGCATACTGATTGCATTAAATCTAAGATAGCCAAGCACAAAAAGTGAAAAGTTAAACTATAAGTTGCCGTTATTATCACATAGCGGTCAGGAGTCTGTAATTCAGTGGTTGTCATTTGTTTGCTGTGTTACATATTCGTTTTTCGGTCTTTGTTTGTACATTATTAAAACCGTTATTTTCACTCGTTTGAATTAAATTATTAAACAGCTGTCATGTCGGGGACTCTCCCTCTGGTATCTTTCGTCCCTCTTTTATAGCTGACTATGCGGGGGCTTTTCTCATTATTGAGGCCATTATGATGACCTATAGTTGTTAATTTCTGTGTCATTAAGTCTCTTGGCAATCATAATACATATTCTTTTATATATATATAGCGATGTCGTTATTACGACATAGCTATGTCGTTATTACGACATAGTGATGTCGTAATAACGACATGGTATGTCGAAATTACGACATAGCGATGTCGTTATAACGACATGTTATGTCGAAATTACGATATAGCGATGTCGTAATAACGACATGTTATGTCGAAATTACGACATAGCTATAGTGATGTCGTAATTACGA